GCGTTCGGGGTGGTATGGCCATAGACAACAATCGTACAGTCAACAAGAAATGGCAAAAAAAAAAACCCCGTGCTTATTGGAACACAAAGGCAGAGAGCTGGAAAGGCTGTTTGATCTATGGCAGCAGGTCTTGAATAAGAGAACACCACACAGTAGAATTTATACGATATGTGTGGGCTCTCAGCTTATGCTTAACCTTCTCTGTATCTAATACAGTACTTTTAATGCTGGAACTTCCTCTTCTTGAATAAAGACACTACAGCAAGCAAAGACAGGAATGGATTTTCCTTCCCCTAAAAAGTAGGCCATCAGTATGGATAGTTATTACTATTACCTTTCTCTACTTTACAAAAACCCTGTAAAGTGGATATAACTACCTTCATCTTCAAAGACAAGGCAACTGGAATCCGGGGAAGGAAGGTAACTTTCCCAGCATCACAGGAACATGACTAGAATATAGGTGTTTTGGCTCCAAAGCCAGGATTCTTCCTACTCAGTTCACTCTCTTTTCTGAATAATCATCTTAGGTCAGCAGCTCTGATAAGTTCTGACTATAGTGTTCGTTGACCTCTGTGGCTTATATGAATAGACAGTTTAAAAAAAAAAAAATCACAGGAGCTAGGAAGGAGGAACTAAAACCTAATTCACATGATCCGATTCACATAATCTTCACTATCAGCCCAAGGAATCAGTTCCCCATGGACTTGTCACTGGCACTCTCCCCCAGCTAGGAGGTGCAAACACCATTCCCAAGAAAACATGTCAGTCTACTACCTTAAATCTCTATACTCCTGGTGTGCCAGCTTTAAACTTTTGATACTAAAAATTAAAAGAAATTTGTTTCAACCTAAAAATGACAGTTGCCAAGTTAAGGTGGCAGCTGTCACTGCAGTCTGGTGACTAAAGCACTGATTTTGTAGTTACACAGATCTGGATTCAAAATCAAGTTCTGCACTCAAATAATTGTGTAAGCCATGTAAATCAATTCCCTTCTGTAACTTCATATACAGCGTACGGCATCATAGATAGCTAACTTCTCTAAAAAGAATCAAACGAGGTAATCGAGGGTTGAAGGTCCAATACACAGAAAATAAAAGACACATTAACATCATTGCTAATTTCATGCCATAGTCTTGGCAAACCAAAACGCTACCTGCTCTGAACTCGATCATCTGATGTAACCACCTAACAAGCCAAATCTGGATATACAAGGAAATGAAATACTGACTCAGTTTGGGTTAGCTCAGCGACACCCAGACATTCCAGTTCAACTGTTCTAAAATATGCAGAGTGCACAGTCTATTTTAAAATGACTCAAATTGTTGTACAAGCACTTGTTTGTCTAACTTCAGTCTGACTTGACACACATATACACACATCAGATTTACTTGTGATTCAGTCTATACTTTTATCCACAGGTTTGTTTACTATAACGGGCACATGGAGTGCAGGGAATAAGTCTGTTTTGTTCCCTTTTATATGCCTACCACTGGTAAAAGTCCTGGCACACACCAAATGCTCAGTAAATATGAATAAAATTAAATTTGTAGAACAACTACTTAGAACCCTCTAGAGCTCTAACATTTACGAATGAACCGGCATGGTAGTACATGCCTTTAATTCCAGCACTCTGGGAGGTTGAAGCAAGAGACTGCAAATTAGAGCCAGCTTGAGTAACTAGTAAGACAATAAATAAATAAATTTTTATTATTATTATAAGTAAATAAATAAGGCTGGGAGTACAGCTCAGTGCAAAAGCCCTCATTACTCCATCCCCCCCCAATAAAATTTAAGAGTGCTCATTTAGCAAAGAAAATGTCAATTATTTTCCTTACATAATTTGGTAAGATTTTTTCTAATTTCCAAATAAATAACAGTTTAACAAACCACACACCAGATATCAATAGTAAAGTTCACACATATATATACAAGCACATGTACACACACACACACACACACACACACACACACACACACATTATACTATAATATTCTTTAAAAGTAGCATTCTAATGTAGAGTAAAAAAAAATCAGTTTGGGGGATCAGGCAAACAGAGGGGATTCAAATGCCCAGCCTATCATCTCAGAGTTTTGCCATTTTTTTGTGTAACTATGCAGTCCAAGTTAGCCATGAACTCACTGTGTACCCCAGGCTGGCCTCAACCTCATGGTGATCCTCCTGTCGGAGCCTCCTAAGTGCTGGGCTTACAGGTATGCACCATCACATCTGTCACAGTTATGTAAATATTAACTCAAGTCAAACAACATACAATATCTCAGTTCCAGTTTCCACATCAGAAAAAATGGAAACAAGTAACTCCTACCTCACAAGGTTGTCATAAACCTACTATGTGCGAAGCACCAAATACAATCAGCAGCAAATGAATTTTACATCTTTGCTACCCCTTTTCTCACAAATGGCAAAACTGTGTGGCCAAATTATGCTTAAAGGCAACCATTCCCTTTATTTCTGCTTTTCCAAAACGTACACTATCAGCCATACCAACAAGCCAGTTGGCTCCACTTGAAAGGATCAGTGGGGCTAGTGTAACCATTTTCAGGTGGACCCTTTCAAACAGCACCACAGCCCACTACATCAACCAGGCTGTGTCTTTTTCAGGAATACTGTCCCTTCTTTCTTTAACCCTGCTTAAAAGGACTCTGTCAAGAGGCGTACAATGTCAAGGAAGACATTGTGATCAACCAGAAATATAGCACACAAGCAAAAGGCTTTGTTTGAAAGCTCAAACTAAACTTTAAGCTGCTGGGAGACTAGAAGGCGACATGCTGGTGTTATTTTAAAGGTATTAAAAAATAAAAACGATAAAAGGACAAGGTGTAGCTCATCAGTAGAGTGTTTGCCTAACATGTATGAGGCCCTGTGTTCAATCACCAGCACCCCAAAATAATAATCTTTTTTAAAATGTAAGAATTTTAAAATCCATGCACATACTTTTATTTAAAATAATGATGACATAAAATTAATGGAAAGGAAGAAAAGCTTCTGGATTCATTAATACCTGGGCACAGTCTATTCATACATGGAACAATACAGTAATAATTTGTCAACTGCAATTAACTAAGTACTTAATTCATTTTACTGGCTGAATACTCTCATTTACATACCAGTGAAAATAAAAACCTAAGTAAACAAAATTCCCTACACACTTCTAAAAGTAATTGCTTCATTCTCTGAAATAAGAAGGCAATGTTTCAACTTTTTTCTCTTAAACAACTTATTCACTGGGAGAGATGAGTCAAAGAACTTTTTTTCCCCCTAAGACTTTGTTTTTCCATTTGTAATAAGGTAGGAACCTGTACTTCCTCCTACTCACCTACTCAACCACTCACAGAGAATTCACAGCACTGCTACTAAAATACACTGAATGATGCCTTCCACTGGTCAATTTTTTAACTGAATGCAATAAAAGGAACCTGCATTTCAAGACCTTACTAACAACTGTTAATTCTTTCCTTACTTGAATTTCCAGTTTCAGAGAAAACTGGGTCAGCTCACTAAAAAGCAACTGTAACATTCAACTAACCATTTTCAAAACACACACACACACACACACACACAGATGCAAGATAAGTACAATGCAAATACCCATTAGACAGCACCCACAAGGCATGCAAAATTGTCTGCCCTTTCAACATTTTTGTTAAAAGTTGTATTACATGTAAACAAGCCGCTTTTCCAAAGCTAAACACATTATACTGGAGCCTCACTGAAACAGCCAATTCCTGTATTGTAAGGCTAATTCTATAGAATCTAAAGACAACCAGGCCTTGTATTGAATTAACTCTTCAGCAAAGTGATTTTAAGGTTTCAGTTGTTTTCTAAAGAAAGCAATTTGAATCAGTAAGCATACCAATGCTATTCAGAATGTCTGCCAATAAGTAAATAAAATCCCCAACCCAAAACGAAGGAATTTGTCTTCCTTCCTAGTCCTAGCTTCATTTAAAGATTGCAAACATGAATATAAAAAGATAACCTTGAGAACAGTAATAAACCCATGTCATCAATCATATTCCTCTAACTTATTTACTAATTTTACACTCTTTTTCTAACACAAGACAGTCTCAACAAGACACCAGGAATTTAATACTACTTTTCAAAGAAAAGATACATCAAACTGCTTGAAATATGCAGTGATGAAAATTGAATACTGCTGCTGACACCATATTTACTTAAACACATGCTTTCTCTAAACCAAACTTCACAAATAAAGCCACAGTATTTTTGGCCTTGGCTCTCTTAGAAACCATCTCAACAAGACAGATCATCAGCTGCACTTGAGCTAAGAGTTTTATCCTAAGCAACCCCATTCCACCCTCCCACCCCCGTCAAAAGAAAAAAAAAGTATTACTTTTATCTGTGGAATTCTCTGCCAGCCTCGGCCTGGAAAACTGTTGTGGACCCTGAAGACAGGTGTCAGATCTGGCCTTTGGGAAATGGCCCAACCTGACAATTACTGGCAGCATAAAGCTGTGATCTTTATAAACTTCCACTGGAGGCTTTATAACATTAGTGACTCCCTCCCTCCTCCTTTTTTCAAGGAGGAGAGAAAGAAACCAAAAGGATCAGTTTCAAAATAGAAAAATCACTACTTTAATTATGACACCCTCCCAACTCAACAAAGAACCTTAAAGATAGCCAAATAATTGTCAGGGTTTGTTTTTTGTTCTTGTTTTTGTTTTTGTTTTGGCACATGCACAACTATTAAACATGAGAATACAACTTCAAGGTAAAGGGAAAAGAATAAAAAGCAGGAGTAGAAAAAGGGAGCAGGACAGGGCCCAGCTGAAGACCCACTTGGCTCTGAAGGGCCCCTCTTGGTACTAACTCCTCCATGTGGGGCACCCAGGCTGGAGGAAAGCAGAGGGTTACACAGAACATTAAGCAGACTTAACATTGGATTAAACACACTACTGCAAGTTTCAACAAATGTTCATGGCATACGTAAAAACACATTTACAACAAGAAAGAAGAGAGGCACCTGGAGACATCTGACACTGGGCATGCTCTGCAGGCAACTCAGTGCGCACATGCTCTCTACCAGGTTGGCGCAGCCTAGCCACAAAGACCTTGGCACAGAACACTGCAGGATGACAAAAAGGAAGGAAGAGAAGAAGCAGTTAGAGGCCGCAACAAATCACTCCTTCACACAGGCAACTTGAATGTTAGTTGGGGCAGGGGTGCACCGGTGGCGGTCTGGAGGTCAGGGATGGTCCTAGGCAGCTTAATGAACCCTTGGGAGAGGGCCCACTTTCTGTGCTATAAACAGGTTTCTGCTAACAACCACAAATTTCTCAGGATGCAGTGGACAGAACCAAGTGGGAGAGAGAAATAATATTTAAACAAAAACCCACTAAAGGAAACTATGAGTTTAAGTGCAAAACAAGATTAGTGGTAAGACAGTGACTGTAATTTCATAAAAGGTTTCCCATCTTCTATGTCATATACTCATCATTGCCATCATTGCTTAAGAACCTAGTACGTGACGGGCACTTTTAAATGTGTTCCCTAATCCTCACTACAGTGTACAGAAACTGAGGCTCTGGGGCTACGTGATTTACATAAGAACACACAGTAAAGGAGAGAGCCAGAATTTCAAACTCTAGTTTGTCTGTAGCTAACTCCCATATTCCTTCCACAAGACCAAGATGCCTTTTTATTAAAAAAAAGAAAAATAATTCTGTTATCCCAACTTTTATCATGAGTACAGTTTTATACTTCCCTGAAGTAAAATCGCATGAGACCTAGACCGGGGTAAAAGGAACAAGACGAGTAACAGGCCAGCGATGGCAAACCTTTTAGAACTTTGACTGATACAAACTTCCCGGTGCAGGATGCATGCCATAAGTTCACCACCACTGATATAATAGGCAATATGAGACCTGCTTAAAATATGTCTGATTCAGGGGCTGGGGATTTAGTTCAGCAGCATAAGCGCCTGCCTTGCAAGCAGGTAGTCGTGAGTTAGATCCCCGGTACCGATAAAAAAGAAAAAGACCAAAAAAAATACATCTGATTTTCACTGGCATCTTTATCTCTAATTTCTCAAAGATAAAACTTTGGAAGATCACAATTCTCATTTTTTTTAAGTATTTATTTTTTTATTTTTTTTATTTTTTTTGTCTTTTTCCTTTTTATCAGTACCGGGGATCGAACTCACAACTGCCTGCTTGCAAGGCAGGCGTTTATGCCGCTGAGCTAAATCCCCAGCCCTACAATTCTCATTTTTGACAGCTTTGTTTACAAAGTTCATCTGACATGACTAAGAAAAACTTAATTCTTTTACCCTGTTCCTTTTTAAAAGCTTGCTAATTTTAGGAATTAAGAAAAAAAGTAAAATATAAAAATGGCATATATATCATGGTTCCTATTTAACAGCTGTCAAAACTATTCATGATATTCAGTATTTTTCCAGATCTAAAATTAATTTACTGTTACCCCAAAAATTAGTAATTATGCCAAAACCAAAAAGCTGAAGGTGCTTGAGTTTAATGAAAATACTCCACAAATCTTAGCCCTCATAAACTGGCTTATCCTAGCTGTACTTAGGATGGCCAAACATTCTCATTGGCCTAAGGCACTCCTGGTTTCTATTTACTGTCCCAAGATAACTCTTACTTTCAATGAGTTCAAGTTTGGGGCTAACTTCTATGATCACTCCAGCTATAACACAAAGATAAGTTTTGTTTCCAATCTAATAAACCTGAGTTCATACAAGCATCTGTCACTTGGTACTTACAACTGTCATAAGATATAGAATGCTGAAATTATTTAGAAAAGACATTTTAAAAATACAAAATCAGAGAAGTAAAATATTGAGCAGCTCTCTGGTAACAATAAATACATCACACATTTCCAACGTAAGTATTTATCCCAAAGGTTACCATAATCTATAGAGTAGCAGTGTATCACTGGTAACTCGATACACAGACTTCGTTGCCCCACATTTCATATTTGAAGTACCAAGTGCAAGAAAGATGCTGAATACATTTTACATGCAGCACAACAAAAGTAGCTGCCATTTATTGAGCTCTTGTTGTTTGCTCGACAGCTGATACAGTTAACTCTCACAATAACAGTTTGAAAGATTTCATAAAGCATGGCAGCACACACCCATAATTCTAGCATTCTGGGAGGCTGAGACAGTAGGATTAAATTCAAGCGCTGCCTGGGAAACTTACGAGACACTGTCTCAAAATTTAAAAATTAATTTTTTTAAAGGGTTAGAGATATATCTCAGTATGAATGCCCTGGCTTCAATCTCAAGTATGAAAGAAAGAGGGGAGAGGAGAGGAGAGTTTATTTTTCATTTTATACATGAGGACAATCAGGAAAAAAGTGAATGACTTATTAAAGCAACAACTTGCCTGAGGTGCAAGGGAACAAGAGATATCTGATGATCAGAGTTAGGAAAAAAGTTAACATTGCCTGATTAGCTACAAGTTCTCTATCCAGATGTATTCTAGCACAAACTATTAAAGGAACATTTGTATCAGAATGCATCAGAAGTGTTGGCACAGAAGTTACATGTTTATATTACATGATTATTTATATTAAATAAACTCTCAATATCCCTGACATTCAAATTAGAAGTGTTTTGTTTGTTTTGTTTTTACAATTTTTATAGTTACACAAATCAAAGAATCATTCAGATCCCATGACACAGTTTAAGGACGATTCCTGTATTCAGTAACTGACATCAAATTAATAACATAGCTCACTTACATATCAAATTGCACTTATTTGGTAAAGATAGTCCAGTTCTCCCTGCAAAGTTTAATATGTATTTGTCTCCAAGTGCAATCCTGGTTATCCTGTTGTTAATTTTTTTTTAAGGGCAATTTTTGACATTCAATAAATCAAAAAATTATAGACTGAGAGCTGAAAGAAACTCTTAAAGACCCTTTGATCTAACCTCCTATCCCTGATTTTTAGAAGTGAAAAAAACTAAAGCCCAAAAACAGGAAAACTCATCTTCCCAGGGTTTTCCATACTTTAAAAACTACTTTCAATACTTTAAAAACATGGAAAACAATAAAAAGTTTCTGACAATTTGATTTCAAAATATTAGACATTTATTACAAATTTGATGTTTTCAAACCTACTCAAAGCTTGATAATTAATTTGTAAATTCAGGGAAAAGATTTTTAAGGGAATACTTGAGGGTCTAACTGCCAAGAATTCACCTTTGTAATATCCATGGTAGATAGTATGGAGTATTGAGAACCATGTCAGTGTTTACTGAGCATCTGTTAAGTGTCAGCACCATACTAAATACCTCCTAAAGACTATCTCAGCTCATTCTCATCATAACCCTACACAATAGATATTACTTTTCCCAACACTCAGAAGAAAAAACACAGGTGCAAAGAGATAAATTCCTTTCTCGTCCAAAATCAGTGGTGCTGGGTTGAAGCTGTAACTGACTTAAATCAACTTTTGCATGATTCACACTATTTGTGTTAGAATATAATAAACAAAAAGATACTTTGATCCTAGGTATCATCCAAGTTGGTACAGTGATATAACAGTCAAAATCTATTAACTAATCTGTTATTTTACTGTAATCTTCTCAACTCATCATCCTAGGGCTATTATCCATCTGGTGAAAGTAAAGTTAATGATGGTTGAAAGTGTTAGGTTTGAGAAGAGTAGAGGAAGAGGGGAAGGAAGGGAAAGGTCCGTGGAAGGAATGGAGTGGACGGCCGTGAAAGGAGTGGGCGGCAGTGGCTGCAAAGATAAGAAATATAAAATATAAGTAACCTTTATTTTGGGAATGTGGGGAGAGACCCCCCCGGCCCCGGGGCGCAGCATCTCTACCCCGGGGCCGGCGGTCTCTCTCTGGAACACACTCTCCCTTCTTCTTCTTCTTCTTCCTCTCGAACACGTGGAGTGAGGCCCATAAGTAGCCTCTGTCTGGGGTGGACCCCAAGGGGCATTAGGGATGCACAGGTTTTTATTGGCACACGTTTGGTGCGCCAGGGACAGGTTCTTAGGGATGGGGGTATGGGGTTACAGGTAAATCTATAGGGGCGGGGGAGGCAGGAGCCCCCTAACTTGGCTGAGGCTTTTCCTGGTTAAAGTGTCCGGTCTCTTTGTGTCCGGCCAGCAACTCTTTCAGAAAGGTATTCTACTCCCCTACTTTCATACTCAGTTACTAAGGAACTACAACTACACTGCTTAAAAAAAAAGTGTATACTCAACATAAAGTGTCACTTTAAGAAGTTATATCATTTTTTAAATAAGGAAGTACATACATGCTAACCTAAACAAGTTTCCTTTTGCCTAAATGACCAGGGAGACAATGATCAAAATGAAAACAAATTCCATATTCATCAACCTAAGCATTAAAATGCAGCTAGAACCATGATAGTTGATTCTTAAAGCTTCCAACTTTAAATTTAGAGATTTGTTTTGGAAATCCCTGGAGCAAACAATTATCCACTATTCCTTACCTAAGTAATGAAAAAATGTCTTCACATTAGCTATTCTCACAATGTAGATCGAATCCCCCCCCCCCCTCTGCTAACAGTGGTGTATCTTTAAGCTTCTCTGGACTACTATCTTACTGTTAAAATATGTCTGTTTACCTTGCTACTGTGGGTATTTACCAACTTTAACAAATATGTAGTGACCTAATTATTAAGCGAACAATATAAACCAAGTCTCTTTCCTTGATGCTTTAACCTGGAGCTCACGAGAAAGAGAAGGATCATTACAGTGGGTAGAAAACTTCTAAGAAATGTTTGTTATAGTTTCATATTTAGCTACTTTTGATGATCAGTACTCTTATTTTAGGGTTGTTCATAGAAAACAAGAAATGATTCACACTAGTTTCTGGTATTAACAGCAAGTACCCAATCAAATTGATTATGTTTGCAGATTCTACAGCCTAAGAAAGTATTATTAGCCAAGGAACCTAATAGTTTTTATCAGTTCTGCCACATCAACCAGATAATCAAAAACCAAATTCAGGGCCAACCTGATGCAGAAACACTTGAAGTCAGTTAAAGACAAGAATAACAGCTTTTGGCATTTTTCAAAAGCTAAAAGTTTATTAAAAGAGGTAGGGAAAAATGTCCT